CCCAGAGAATTTAGAACCTGGTTTGAAGTTTAAAAAGCTTTGGAGCTTTTCGACAAGGTGTCTGTTGTCAGCTAAAAAATCAGGTATATTGTGAGAGAATCAAGCAAGGGTGAGCCACATGTGAAGTATGAATGTGTGGTGTTTGTATGTACTTTTGGAAGCAATAGGAAATCCCTAAATGATTGTTAATGCCTAGTGTACTAGATCCCAACGCACGAACCAGGACTGTCTGTAGTGAACGCGGTGTTAACAACCATTTTATTTGTTTCAAAACGATTTGAAAAGCGGATAACATACGATGATCTGGTGAGTGATCGGTAAGAATTAAATAGCAAGAATAACGTTTCGGGTTTTGGTCTACAATCGGTGGTTATTTCGAAGTTACAACAAGTTGAGAAGCTGATTATTATTCAGGGTGAAAAAATTGGCTGGTTACAAATTGCTTGTTTCAGTTCAAATAATGAAATTCCTATTTTTCGGATGCTTGTGATTTCTCCGTGGTTATAAACACGGTTGCCCATGATTTATAAGAAAACTTCAAATAAATTTTCTTTGAACCAGTGGTCTTCTTTTTCTTGGCGAAGCATCTATTGAGACGATTAGGTAGCAAAGTAGAATGTTCTGTGATTGAGAATCGTAGTCGTTGAGTTTCGGATTTATATCGTGCATCTAATTGCTATAACCCTATGAATAAAGCTTTTTCCTCATGGTGCATTATGATATCTGGAAACCATAAGCACACTGCCTTCGATAAATTTGTTTTTACTTTTTAAATGACAGCAAATAGTGAGTCATTTGAGGCGATAGGATAAATACCACTAAACGCTTTCGTGAAGAGATTAGGATATGTTTATTTTCTCGACTAGGAGACGATCTTTTTACCCAGAAAGCTCTCAGGATGTCCGCTTTTACTTTGTAATTCAAAAAAAAAGTTGAGTTGCTCACTTAGGTAGTAACAAGGGGGTGGCTTTAGGTAATGCGTCATAGAAGTAAACAGTGTATGTCTATTGTGTCTAAATATATTAAACGTTGTAAAGCCGATCAAATCGTAGTTCTCAAATATGAGTTAGTTTTTTAAATAATGAGTGTACCATGCTAGCGTTTGTGCTCGAAACGTCATCAGTTAATATAACTGTACAACACTGTCTGATTTATCAAAATAAAATCTTATCCATAATGGAGTTATACTCTACCACAGTGCCCAAGTTTTATACTTATATCAGCGTTCACCTTGGTTTGCATACCTAGCTCATGCATGCGTGTGATATACATTTAAGGCTAATACGCTGTTTGATGAATTAGTCCGAGATACTTAAAGTCAGACTTGAGCTCTATATCACTGTCATCAATTTTGCAACGGTCATAGGAATTAACAGCTTCACCTGACTTTCTCTTACATCGGAAACTGAAATTGACAGTCTGACATTTGGAAGGATTTAGTTTAAAAGCATTTTCTGACTACTAATAGAGAGCTGTTCATCTTAGTACAGTGTAGATGCGAATTAAAAGACACTGGAATGGTTAGTCCGCGCACTTGACATATTTCATTTCGTATGCATATGTACATTAAGTTCGTCAAACAAAAATACAATTAGTAGTGGACGACTATAATGGATAAAATGCTGTGATGCAAGACTGCAGCTGCATCTAAAGTACTTCTACTGTGTTTATAGGCGAATTATTTGAGATCGTTATAGGCTTTAAGTGAAGGTTGAAGATTAAGTAAGAGTAACTTTTCCATAGGTTTTAGAAAAGGGGAGGTAATAGCAATAGGTCTAAATTTAAAGCATGTTCCATTAGACGACTTAGGTATGGGTACAATTTTAAAGTCCTTCCAAACGGCTGGCACAACATTTCTGGAAAAAGATTCATTAAATATGTGAGAGCATATCTGTACATTTTTTAAGAATAAGGCTAGGCAAACAATCTGGAACTACAAGAAGGGTTCAACGACTGGTGATATTTCAGAACGTCATTTAATAATAATAATGATTTACTTTATTCCAAAAACAGTACTTGTGATACAGAATGGAATTTTCAGCACTAATCACAATATTGCATCTAATTTCCTCAAATTATAAATAAAATTAATCACAGAAAAATTTTCTACATTTACAACAGGGTTGACATAAAAAAAGTAAAAAACATGCAGCATATAAAATGGAAATAATAATAATGATAGCAGATAAGGTAATGATAATAATACAAGTGGAAATTGCCGTGGGATTGTTTCACACAGTATTGTCGATGCGGTATACAAATGCTTGCATGATTAAAAATATTGAATATGATGTTCTCTTTACATGATATGGTGAGGGGAAAAACAAAGATTACAGCAGTCGTAGAGATAAGTTGGTGTTTGCAGTTATGAAAGTGAAAACAAAGAATCAACAGGACCATAAATATAATAGAAATAATAAAAGTAGAACTTGAAGGTATATAAAGATGGATGGAGGAGATTGTTTACTTTGAAATAATAGAGAAGATTTGTAGCTCAGGTGGATGATTTGCAATTAAAAGTGTTCTCTGAAGAAGAAGAAATTTAAATCATTTCACTCTGTGCTAAATATGGCGCTGAAGATGTTGTCCGGAAGGACGACGAAAGCTTCGCGACTAAACCAACCAGCTCAGAGAACACTTTTAATTGCAGATTGTCTATTTACTAGATGAAAAAAGGTTTGTATTGAAACCAAGGAAGCAACTCTCATTAACACTTGTGACACCAGAAACCTTGGTATTTGTGGGAGAATGTATGAATGCCTTGTTTACCGTACACACATCAAATGAATGGGATATACTGTTGTAATACTGGAGGTAATCAGATGCATAAATGCGTAAGTTATTTAATAATCATAAAGTAGATATGCAAACACCGCAGTTGTTGATTATAGAAATGATGGATATTAGATAACATCACATGATTCAACGGCATATTAGAAGTAGATGAAAATTGTTTCTTTGCTCACTGTCAAGTGAACAGTCTATTTGACGATGTCACTGCATATTAACAGATTAGTGAAGTAGCTGTCAAGCCTAAGTCATTAAATTTACTTGTACTTCATACTTGGCGTTTAACAGTGTACAGAATTGCAACTGGCTAGATAAGGCGATTTTAGCGTATCGAACAGTACAGAATTATTATTTAAATTGCTAAATCTTACTTAGTTTTTACAATGTCCTACTGTATAGAAACAGACACGAAATCTTACGAAGGGCTAAAGTAACAGTCTCATAATACTATAGTAAATCTCCATCCCTCTAACTAAGCTTAACATGCATTGATCCGAATTCACGCACTGAAAAAGTCTAGGGGAAGTAGAATTGAAGAGTATATTAAACATTTCATTAATTTACAAAAGAAAATCCCGATGAAGAGTATTAACGTTAGTTTGTCCGGATGATATTTCCGCTGGTTTCATATTCGACAACTTCCGTATACCTGAAAAAAATAAAGCACATGTAAGGACTAGCACAACATGAAGTTATGACAGATAATTCTACATATTAGCACACACTGAATACACTGATTCGGTTAATACTAAGTAATATCTCATGCGAATAAATGTATATGTAGTTTTCAGCTGGTTTTTATATTGGCACTGTAAGCATCAATAGACCTCAAATGTTTTCCAGTATTAAAGGATTACACGCAAATATCAAGACAATCTTTGAAGCTTCCATACTGTTGAGGCGTCATACTATCATTAACCTTAGTTGCAGATCAACTTCACATTGAATACGTTTACATTAAATGAAGTATTGCAAATGTATAACTTAGAAACTGATCCATAATCTCAGTAATGTCTAATGAGCATAGTTTTATGAATCCTACAGAAATTACATTCTCATATTTAGGAATCTATAGCCATCAAATATAAGCTGAACATGCTTCAACTCTAAGCAACTATGCACAGTGTTAGCAGCATAGAGAAACACTTAAAATATTGTAAGATACGCAGACCTGTTGTGTTGATGAGGATAACAATGACATATAATGCAGCCTAGACATTCGATCGTGACACTGCATCTGTACTGCTTCATGTTAATGGAAAATTCAGGAAAAATTCATCACCACTACTGGTGATCAAAAACAGTGCAGCATTAAGTTTACAGTGCCAGTGAGAATGGCATAACAGACAGTAGATTGATAGTAATAGAGCTGACTAGATTCAGTTCTCATAATCGACACAATCCATGTGTATAATGATACTATACACTGAATTAATGCCCTAAGCGACACAGTAAGGAATTTAAACGAGTGATTGCCTTCTCCACGGCACTGCACTTGCAATAATCATGACAACCACCTACGTTTGCTAGCCAAGCAGTCAGCTAAGTAGACAATGGCACAATATAAATAAAGTTGAGGTATTTTTATACATTGAGTCCACATAACTCATATTACACTACACTAAACAGTGCAAATATACATGAAATCCACTTAGAAATAACCTCTCAACTTACGATAATTCCTGTCCAAACACACACGGTGAGACACATCTACATGATTACTTCTATTCCCACAGAAGGTTCTGTTAGCATTTACAGGTGATTTCGCAGTACTGATAGAATTCTTTTGTCAAAAAGGACTGTTCTTCACACGTAAATAGGCTGAATTAATATCCTGAGACGTGAAGTCTCCATTGAATGATACCATGACGAAAGGTGCAGCATCTAAATAAAGTAGATTATTTGTGTAGATGAAATTACCCTTCAACTATCCTATCTTTCTCACTATAGCGATATTTTGCTACAGTTCACCTGAAACACTGATCGTTGCAACCAATATGCTAGGGGGTGTCGCAGTCAGATTACATGACGCGGACACCAAAATAACAGGCCAGAAAATGGGAATTCTCATCAATCCAGATAACATATAACGCAATTTCATTAAAAATTTCCAAGGGAAATTTTAACAGCGCTACTAGAACATGGCATTTAACGTCTACCCTGTGATTGTGACCTAACCAGTGTATGCAACAAAGTCATAACCGCCAGATATGAATTCCAGGCGTACTGTGCTTTCGTCCTTGACAAAACGTGTTAGCCAAATACGTAATGTTTGTATATTGGCTCATGTTGATCATGGTAAGTACCCAGAAAATTTCATTTCGCCATACTTGGACGAAGGTCTGTTTATTTTTAAGAAGAAATGACTTGTAAAACCGACTATACAAAAATAATTGCTTAATAAACTCAAGTGTAATCACATATATATGGCTTAACGGTGTCATGGGATTTACTAGCAATACTGTTTTGGTCTTTCTTTCATTTTACGACTGTTTTTAGTTTACATGAAGTGGTTGTCTATGAAATATAAGAGCTTACTGTGATACCAGTTCGGTTCTCTCATCTTACATGCATGTAAGATGTATCACATGTCCCCATGGGGACTCCAAATAACACAATATATCGAAAGGTTAAAGAGGTTTTTGATAATTACCCACGCAAACGAATTCCTTACTCTCGTTATTTAGTTAGAACTCAGTTACCGGGCCCTGGGTGGTGGCTATAAGCCACACTCGTTACGTCAGGTCTTATTATACTACCCAGTTTCCCGGACTAAGTTAGACGGAGGAAGATATGAACCTGGGACATACTGGTTAAAGGTTGATTCCTTAAGCCAATGAACCACATCTTTCTATCCTGCCTAATAGAATAATGCATTTGTTATTCAGATAAATTCGGATAACTGCCTTGTTGGTTAAAAGCTTCAATGGTTGATGTTAAAATCACCTTAAGCATCAAGGTAACGGCTTATTAACTTCTTATTATATTTTGTAGGAAAAACTACTATGGCTGATGCTCTGCTGGCCACCAATGGAATTGTGTCTTCACGCCAATCCGGGAAATTACGTTATATGGACAACACTGAAGCAGAGCAAGAGCGTGGGATAACAATGAAATCTAGTGTAATTGGGCTTGTTTTCAATCGGACTATCTCTCCTTCAGATAAAAACAGTGAAAATTACTATCTCATAAATCTAGTCGACTCTCCTGGGCATGTTGACTTTTCTTCCGAAGTTTCAACAGCAGTTCGTCTGTGTGATGGTGCAATCATTGTGATTGATGTTGTTGAAGGAGTATGTCCACAGGTATAGCGTTTAATTTTGCTTGTCTTTAAATAATTTTTACTTGTAGACACGTACAGTGCTTCGTCAGGCTTGGGATGAAAGATCCACTCTGTTATTAGTTCTTAATAAAGTTGATCGATTGATTTTGGAGTTGAAGATGACACCATTACAAGCCTATGAGACAATGTGTCGATCAATAGAACAAGTGAATTCAGTTCTTGCTGAAATGTATTCTGCAGATGTGATGCGTCAAAGGAACAGTCTGTGGGAAACAAGTCTTAGTAATCAAGTGAGTACTAATACCATTCGTTAAACAGTTTTTTTGTTTTGTTTGGATAAGATGCGTATTAGTAATTAAAGGTTTATCTGTTTTCCATCTAAAGATAACGTATCGTACTAAATCAAAGTCTTATCTGCCTTAATGATGAGATTCTCATGATCTGATAAATACTGTTCATGTTTTTAAATGTTTTTTAACAAATGTCTACTTCACTTATAATTCCATTCGGTAGCAATCAAAATAGATGACGGGTTGATTGAAGCTTTGTTTTGAAGCATGTTTACTTATCATTGAGTTTACACTAAACTGTTTATCTATCTGAGATGAAAAAGTGACTTAGTTGGGATTTGTGTAGATGTAAGCCATGAGGTGAAAGCTGACTCACGCGACTGGATCGCCAGCGACAGTCCTTAATATGTTGTTAGACTCGATGTGTTACAAGAGAAGCTACGTATTTTTGTCATATCTGCATAGTCTTTCACAGATATAAACTCAAATACAACAAGTATACACTAATGAAAAACCATGAAGTAGAATAAGACAATCATCCTCTTTTCAGCTTTCCATTGTCAATCCAGCTTTCGATTAGTATTGAAAACTAACCCCCCAAATAAACGTTCCAGTCACGACTTTATTCTTTAAACGTAAACACTTCAAAATTTTTTACTGTTTAAGTCGTCTTTACAGAGCACATAGCTGGTTAGACCTGTCTCACTCGACTCATAGCAGTTTGACAGAGGAATCTTTGCATGCAGCTAACTTTAGCAGACTATATGAATCAATTGATTAACTCACGGTGTCGTTTTTTTCACGGATTGCACAAAATGAAAACTGCATTTCTGTGTTCCACTGTTAGTGATTAGTGAAGAATTTAGATCCTAATGTAAAAATGTCTGTCTGTTTTCGACATGTAACTTTGCACCTATGTGCAGCAGTTCAAGTCGCCACACTCCCTCCTTGTAGCACACAAAGCAAGAGAAGAAAGTAGAAGAAATGCTAAACAGAGACAGTAGACAGGGATATGAAACAAAAGGAATAATAATAACGAAGATCAGTGTAGTTTCATTGGGTATTATAAGTCACAAGGAGTGGATGCATCTGCGCTAGCCATTGAGAACGAGGATTTTGAGCCATATCACCAATTGTATCCAGCCATTGCTTTTTACCATCCCGAGGACCCCAACCGGTCAGGAAGTTTACACCTTCCTACGTGGTTGGCTTAAACTCTAACTTGTAGATTTCATTGTAAAATGTAATAAACAAAACAGTGAGGTGCACTTTAAAATAAACCTTTTTGTTTATCAGTCTTATACTACTCACTTCACTTCTGAAAAAGTTGCATCATATGTGAAACTAAAAGGATTCTTAAGTCGATCAATTTGAAGTTTCCCCCCCCCCCCCCCACTATTCACTGATTACTAAAGTGAACTGATTTCACGCTATAGAATTTAGTGCAAAAGTGCGGAAGAACAGTTTACTACACTTTATCAATCATACATAAGGTTAAAGAAAACAGGGATGTGTGGAAGAAAGATTGTTGACATAGGGAATAATAACAAGAATTTAATGATGATAGAAAATCAACATAAAATAGTGATTGCATCTACTCTTTGAAGAACAACTTTTCAGCCATGTTAACAAAAGTCTCCAGCCATTGGTTTCTAGCCTCTTGAGTACTCCAACCAGACAGTCTCCATCTTCATCCTATATCAGATAATCTTACTTTATCGATCCAGCTTCACAATCTCTTCGACTGATTTTCCCTCCATACATAAAGCCTTACACCTAACCACACCGTTACAGTCTATATTGTATCAATTATTAGGAGAGTTAGAGTGCATAATACTTATGATCAAAGACAGCTAGCCTCTTTATATCTTCCACTTTCAGCAGTTGCACTTTAAGGCTATAAAAGACAACCGGCCGAAATGCTATACAGTAAACAACACCTTTAAGTGGATAGGCAGATATCACATCTACGCCAGATGTGATATGATATAAATTCATAAATGCCACTAATCACTAAACACATGAAACAACTGTCACAATTACTGCTAATAAAGTGGTATAACATTTATCTACAAGTACTCTGATAGTACCAGAACAGAATTACTTGCGTGTTTTATATATTCTATTTTTTGAAATGTCTGTTTAGCACCTGTATAAGTATGGTATGTGCTTCGCACCGTCTGTGTGCAAAGTACTGTTACAAGATTGGCAGGAGCCTGTACCTGCACTCACTCTTGCGGATGAACCCCTTGAAGTTGTTGATAAGTTTGTGTATCTGGGTAGTTGTGTGAGTGCTGGCGGTGGGGTGACGGATGAGATTTCCAACCGTGGCATACATCAACTTGATCCACCTCTGGCGCCGTCGCGACGTTAGCCTGGCTGTCAAAGTTCGGATATACAATGCTTCGGTGCGGGCTGTCTTGCTCTACGCCTGTGAAACCTGGCCTCTCCGAGCTGAGGATGTGAGGCGACTCTGCGTGTTCGATCATCGCTGTCTCCGCAGGATTGCTTGCGTTCGATGGCATCATCGCGTGAGTAATTCTGAGGTTCGGCGGCGTGTGTTTGATCACAGTGGAGATCACCATTCATTGAGTGTCGTCATCTGGAAACACCAGCTCCGATGGCTTAGACATGTGCTGCGAATGTCATCCCAGAGGCTTCCGTACAGGTCTCTGTTCACTAGCCCTGGGACGGGATGGAAAAGGCGGAGTGGTGGTCAGTCCATGACGTGGCGTCGTGGGATGAAGGATATATGTGCTAGATTAGCATCGGTTGGTGCGTCATTACTCCCTGGTTGGGGTCCGCGAGATAGCTCGAATCGATGGCTCGAAACTTTATCGGATATGGAGAAGAATCGTAATCAGTGGCGAACGTGTTGCAATTTCCTTCTTTTTTCCCTTCCTGATGATAGTTAACGAATACTGTTTGAACTTGTTAAACATGACTGTTTTCCTTCCAGATGAAGTTCTTTATCCGTTTTCTACTTATATTTTTATTATTATTGTGTGGCGCATCTTTCTTGGTGCCATATTGTACCAAGTTTTTCCTGCGTTTAAATAAATAAAAAAATGTATGTCATCAAACTAAACTTACTAAATATACTTGGAAAATCGTCTGTTTGAGTCCCGCTTTGCCTGCTTTGTGTGTTGAGTAATTATTATTATTATCGTTATTATTATTATTCTCTCTTATTTTATAGAAACCTTCAAGTGCCTTAAACAGTGATACTGCCTATGATTGGAGCACTGGTCTTGAAAAAGCTGATGACTCGAATTTATACTTTTCACCTGAAAAAGGCAATGTTGTCTTTTGTTCTTCTGTTGACTCATGGGGTTTTCGTATTGACCAGTTTAGTAAAACATGGTCTGAACGCTTGTCAATACCTTGTTCAGTGTTACAAAACTCGCTATGGGGTGATTTTTATCTAACTGCTGCTGCGGCTGCCTCTTCTACAGAGTCGAATAATAAAATGACTGTCAAGACAAATGCTAAACAAAAACAAAAGAAGCCTATTTTTGTCCAGTTAGTTTTAGAGCCTTTATGGAATGCATATCAGGTAAGAAATGAGTTTCGATTGGTGTTATATATATTTGTAAACATATGTGCTAGGTTCTCACCAGCCACATGGGGGAGTTTGAGCTCGATTTCCCAGTTGAGTAGTAGTTGTATGCCACTCGCATCAACCAGTAGTGCTTACCAGTTGTTAGCCAGATCGAAGTAGTCTAAACACTGGACAGCGGTGTCGCTCGTTCGGCGCCAAGCTCATCAGCTCTGTACACCTGGCTTGACCCAGTGTCCAGAGAGCTGCATCAGATCAAACCACCCGATTTGCGGTCAGTTAATTAGGCGAACCGGTAATACAAGCAAATCACACTGTTTTTACGGGTTGATCACGGATTGATATCAGTTAGAGAACCATTAAAAACCGGTTCTCGCGTACTGGACAGCTGTTTCTTCCTAGTTTGGGAATCATCGACAGTACGTACACACCACAGGAGGTTCGAACCCAGGACCTTCCGGTTACAAGGCCAGCTGGCTCGTATACCATTCAGCCACGGGAACCCGACTCATTGGGCAGCCCATGAATTTTAACTTCTACCAATTCGTGATTTAGTGCGACCCCAACCATCTTCGTAGGTGGGACATCCATCCTCACACGTGACATCTCACTAGAACTCCAGGAAACTGTAGCTAGTCACTAGTGAGCATCAGATTAATTTTCTATAGTTTGGTTGGGGTCGCGCTGAATCATGAATTGGTAGAAGTTAGAATTCATGGCCTGGCCAGTGAATCGAGTCCCAGTGGCTGAATGGTATACGAGCCAGCTTGCCTTGTAACCGGAAGGTCCTGGATTTGAACCCTGGAGGTGGGTGCATACTGTCGATGATTCCCAAACTAGGCTGCCGAAACAGATGTCTTGCAGTACTCCCTGGTTTTCAATGGTTCTCTAACTGATATCAATCCGTGATCAACCCGTGAAAAACAAAACTAACTCTTACAAACCAAACTATAGAAATTCACACTGTTCTGAATAATTTCGGTTTCTAAAGGAAACTTTGGTGAAATTTCACTTCGAACTGTGTTTTGACTCATTATTGTAAGCAGTTGACTCTCAATCACCTATGCAAGGGCTGGAATTCTCTGAATCTGACTGACAGACTGACTAAGCGGAGGAGTGCAGAAGTTCAAGTTCCCACACTCTATTTAGCCAAAGTAGATAGAAAATTCAAAAATGCCTAATGGGCAGATATATACAGGATAAAGGATAATCACAGTGGAGAAACATGAAAATCTGATGGATATGAGAGATTACAAGTAGGGGATGCGTCTGTACCATTGACGACCTTTAGTCGTATCACTAACAGTCTCAAGCCGAGGACTACAACCAAGTAGTCTACACCTCCCTATGTTTTTTTCCTTCACGTTCCCAGTGGAACATAGGGCTTCAAGCTAGTGGCTTGAAGTTTCTGTAGCAGTGTTTATTTTACAGGATGGGTTTGCTAGCCTCATGCCCAACCTTTCCTCTTCACCAGCATTATTTCTGGCTTAGCGAGGTAAGGGAGGAGTGCGTTGGCCGGGAATCGAACCCCGGACCATGTGTATGGTCGGCGAGCGTCCTAACCGCCATACAACCGACGCAAGGGGGTTACAAGGCAAGCTCGTATACCATTCAGCCACTGGGACCCTCCCTATGTGGTTGGCTCAAACCAAATGTGAAAGACTTCACAGATTGAAGCCAGGTTTTGATTCGACTACTTCTTAGTCTTTTCCAGCCTAATCTGGTGTCAACTAACGTGTTAATCAACGAGGAAGACATTGACTCAACCTTTGGTTATGTACTGTCAACATTAAGTGGTCGTGGTTAGTAGACTGTCGTCCTATTACGTGGTGTTGAAAGACTAGCAACGTGGGACCTACTACTGGGTAATGATCGAAGACGCCCTATCCCAAATTCGCACACCAAGTAAATCATAAAAAAGATGTGATCGAAAGTTGTAGAGTGTTATAAGATATAGGATTTTAAAAAAATAATAAAGAAATGTTCATTATAATAAAGGTTTTTGTATTTCCCAATGAATGGAAAACAAAACGATATTGTTTTTACTGACGTTTCGCTATTTAATGCTAATAGCTTTATCAAAGTATTATTAAACCGGAATTTACAAAATCTCAGCATATATATAACAAACAGTTAGGGGGTGAGAAAATAGACATAGGTCAAGTTAAAGGGACATATTGAAAGTAAAAATAGCGATGAAGATATCTAAACCAAACCGTTAAAAGTGAACTTGGTTTGGACATATATAATAAAGAAATGTGCTGCTTTATAACACATATAAACCGTTTCTATCTTTTCTGAGATAAATTATGTAGAGTCTGTAATTATAGGTCCTTGAGATGTTACATTGATCGTAGGTAACGAACCGAAATCTCCCTACCCGTTTCATACATTTTGATACTATGTTGAAACAGACAGTGAATTGGCATTTCTTATGCAGTAATCTTACCGGATGCTGGTTATTCTATGCAGAAAATAGTCAAGTATTGGTTTTGTAGGGATTTTGTTTGATTGCATGAAGGATTTCATCATGAACTGACATCAGTTGGAGAACCACTGGAAAACCTAGGAGTACTGGACAGCTGTTTCGTCCTGGTTTGGGACTCTTCAGCAGGACGAAACGGCTGTCCAGTGGTTCTCTAACTGATGTCAGCTCATGATGAAATCCTTCATGCAGAAAATAGTGTTAGACCACGTGGGTTGGCTGCTTTCAGCTGTCATGTGTCACAGTCACACAGTAGATGGAACTCAGTACTGTGTTGTAATACACCTAACTCTTGGGTGTCAGTGATATATCTACTGGTCAAATTTATATATCTAAGCCAAAATTTCATAGCCACAAAATCATCAAGATTAATTTTGCTTATCAGGTCAACACATTTGACCATTTCACTTTCTTTGGTGAAATAACTTGTCAACGCCAGATAATGTTGAAGTATTTACGTATGTCAAAGTGTATGCATCCATGTTTGTTTATGTAGAACTATCAACAGTGACAAATCTCTTGGTGTCCATAATGCTCCAAGTTCCTATTTCTATCTTCGATCGTTTTTAGGAGTCTTGGGTGCGTACTTTTGAAGAGTCCCACAACTAAGACGAAACAGCTGTCCAATACTTCTTGGTTTTCGAAAGTTCTCTAACTGAAGCCACTTCGTTATCTAATTTGATACCAGTTAGGTACTAATTGGGGGTTAATTTCTGTAAATGGAAACCATCTATGTACGGATGTGCTAATTACCTTAATATGTAATATATTTTTTTGTCTAATATTTTAGACCTTATTATTGGATGATAAACGAGACAAAGTGTTTACAATGGCTGAAAAAGTTGGTGTCAAGCTGGACCAACGTGTTATCCGTAATGTTGATAGTCGTGGAGTTCTACGCGCTTTGCTAAGTGCTTGGCTTCCTTTGGGTCATACATTAATGCAGGCTATAACAGATATCTGTCCTAGCCCGTCTAAAGCAGTATCTGCTGATCGAGCTGTACATATGCTCTACGGAGATACAGTTCTGTGTGATCTACCACCTCTTTTGAAGGCAGACAGTCCCATTTCAATTGATCAGACATCACGTGTACCGATAAATTCAGTCTATTCATCGTCGGGTGCTAGTTTGGGTAAGTGAAATGTTTTTAGCTTTTATTCAGTGTAATTTAGTTGTGTTGTTTATTGTGTGTGTGTGTGTGTGTGTGTGTGTGTGAAGATATGATCCATTGGTTGTGAGATACTTGACTTGATCGGACTTCATTCAAAACTTGGCTGCACTTACTTCATTTGATTGACCTAAGCTTTTGCATTACAGTCAATTGGTTCCAGGTTCGAGTCCTGCTCCGCCTACTTCATCAGTTCCCACACAATAAGTATGTTCCAAGAGGGATTTCCATGTCAGTCATTATGGTACATGATTTTGGATAGTTTGTTGAAATGGACTAATCGTTGGTGGCCATATGGAGTTCTGGAACTGACGGTCACAGGTGCTTAGGATGATTGTAGCTTCTGGCGCAGAAATGAATCCAAGAAGGTTGATCGTTTACGTCACCACCAGATGCTAGCCTTTGTATTTAACGTTTGTGAGGTCGTGTAAACTTTAGTCTTTGGTGTTAGTGCAGACTGGATTCTATCAGTGAATTTTGCAATTTGGCCACCTTGCTAGGTAGGTAGCTCAGTTCATTCTTAAGTGTCGTTATATGGTTGGGGGTAGTCGATAGGGGAAACACTGGACAGAAGTTGTGTGCTTATTGACACTTATGAGCAAAGCGTATCTGCAACTTCGAAGGTATTCATCTCCCCTATGAGATTCTAACCTGCATCACCTCTGACTGCAGTCAAAGATGCCACCAATATTCTATTCAGCCACACGAGTGACCTCCTATAGGATTGTAATGGGATAGAATTCAGTCAACACACCAAGGACTCTTGATGCATGATATTGGTAACTCCCTGATGACCAACCAATTCATCCATTAGAGTTTTATAGGAAGTGGGTCATAAGACCGAATAACTCAGCGGTAACGTATCCGGCGGCGGCAATGGTGGTTAAAGCGGGTTCGAATGTCAGACATGGCATGAACTCTGTCAGGGTTGCAGATACGCCTTGGTGGGTGGTGAGTGTCAACAGTCACAAAACCTAGACCAAGCAAGGTCTCTTACCGATCGCCTCCAACCGTCTAACGTCCATTCGTGATGTATATCGTGATATTGAGCCAACTAACTTGCTGACGGCAATGTAAATTTGGCTGGTAGAATTCTTGTGTGCACTACAATGAAGAACTAGACTGATGACATGAGTTACACCCTGGTGATCAATCATTGTATTCTTTATTATGTTTGCTAAAACTGTGTGTACTCCTCGTTTTGGATATGATAGAGATTTGTAGCTCAGGTGGATGATTTTGATATGGTTGTGTTCTCTGAGCTGGATAGTTAATTTGCGAAGCTTTCATCACCCTACTGGGTGACATCTTCAGCGCATACTTCAATTCGAGGAAGTGAGCTTTTAGATTTCTCCACGAGTTTATTAATCATCTCTCCTGGCGACCTTGGACGTGATTGGTTGTTTTTGTGTGTTTTCACACCTTCTAGGTTACTTGTATTGTCACTCATTGTTTCTTTGACTTGAACTTTGACCCTTTGTGTGTGACTATTCTTTCTAAATCTAAAAGCTCACTTCCTCGAATTGAAGTATGCGCTGAAGATGTCACCCAGTAGGGTGATGAAAGCTTCGCAAATTAACTATCCAGCTCAGAGAACACAACCATATCAAAAACTCCTCGTTTTCAATGGAAGGATAGAATAACGAAAAATATATCCACTAGATTATGGAAAACGGCAAAAAGATAAAGCTGAGATGGAGAAACACTTTTCTTTGTCGACAGCGTCATCAGTTGAACCGTAGATTAGGTTAATCTGCATTTCCCGTTGAATCGCAATGCTCGGTCAACAGAGATCGTGAAAATTGTTTACTGATACTCGTTACACTAAAAGTGGCCCTAGTGACCTAGTAGATAATGCTTTGAGGTTTGAAATGATGGTTGCTCAATAGGAATGCAGGTACACACCAGATGACGAGTCCTAAATAGGATGAAACGCACATTCTGGATTATACTGCAAGTCATTATCAACCAAAATAAACTATACATTCTCGAATATATGTAACTGAGATTCGAATCCAGTACCTGTCTCTTCAAACGCAAAGACGTTATCCACTAGGCTACTGAGCTATGAGAGCCACCTCCTGTGCAATGGGTATTATTCATGTTTGTTATCTCCCGTTGATATATCTGGACCGAAATGATGAGGCTCATTCTGGTAGATGGACTCCTTGAACAGATGCCTCAATATTATTACTAGGAATCAGAAACTTGAAGTGCTGGGTACTGGGTTCGAGTCCCTTTTGGGGGACATTGTCACTCAATGGGAAGCACATACATCCCATCCAAAATAGCATGAAGCTGTCGTTTTGAATGCCACTCCTAACCACCACCAGACAAGTAATTTTGAGGTATATATTAATCATCGTAGTATTGAGGGATCCGTTCAGGGAGTCTTTATACTCTTTATGGCTGTGAGACCTGGCCATTGAGAGTGGAAGACATGAAAAGATTAGCTATCTTTGATCATAGGTGTCTGCGTTCTATCTCCCGTGTGAAGTGGTATAATAAGGTGAGCAATATTGAAGTTAGGCGTCGAGTGCTAGGTAGGGCGGGGAAATCAATAGATGAGACTGTGAAATTACTTCGACTGAGATGGTTAGGACATGTGCTACGTATGCCTAGTCATCGCCTTCCTCGACAATGGGCAATGTTAGCTGATATAGGGTCAGGCTGGAAAAGAGCTAGTGGCGATTAAACGAAAACATGGCACCAGTCAATGAAATCCACAACAGTTAGTTTAAGCCAGCCACGTAGGAAGGTGTAGACTTCTTGACTGGTTGGGGTCCTCGGGACGGTAAAAACCAATGTTTGGAAACAATGGGTGATATGGCTCAAAAACGTTCTCAATGGCTGGCACAGATGCATCCACTCCTTGTGACTCATGATTTCCAATGAAACTGTTTTGTTCCTCGTTATTACTATTCCTTTTGTCTCATATCCCTGTCTACTGTCTGTATTATGCATTTCTCCTACTTTCTTCTCTTGCTTTGTGTGCTACAAGGAGGGAGTATGGCGACTTGAACTGCCGCACATCGGTGCAAAGTTCTATGTCGAAAACAGTCAGACAGACATACAGTCTATACACCCTATCGAGGCGAATCAATATTAAAAAAATATGAAAATGTGCGAATGTTACTCACTGAGCACTTGTAGCCCTATATAGTTGGCAGCAAGCAATACGTATCGCGAGAGGGCTAGTCATACTGCTTGTCTGACGAAATCTCAATAGGTGGAGCGGGATTGGAACTTATGAACCACCACCTAGCTGGAAGTTGAGCGCCTATACTATACTAATGAACCACAGCTCCACCGTTCCAGATGTATGTCAACAGCAAATCACAAATATGAATAGATAATAGATCAATAGTAATGTTCAGATTGTTTTAAAGTTTTCAGTTTGTCATCCATCCATTAGCCCCTAAGCATTCTATTTTCAGCTAATAAGTTACCCAGGTTCGAACTCCACCTAGTTCATCCTAGATAAATGGGTAGTGTTATAAACACTCATACAGTAGATTTGCCACATATATACCGTGATTGATTGGCATTGAGCTCTGCACAAAGGCGCAGCAGTTCAATTCGCCACACTCCATATATCAAACAAAGGTAGAGGAAACAGGGAAAAGGAGATTGGAAAGAAATGTAATAGGCGGAAATGTGCAAGCAAGAGAACAGTGAAAAGCATAAAGATTTATTGGATCTCGGAGATCACAAAGAGAGGATGCGTTTACACCATTGAGAACGATCTTGAGCTATATTACTAATAGTTCCCAGTCATTAGTTCTTAGCATTCTGAGGAACGCTACCAGGTAGCGTACACACCTCCCTATATATGGCTCAAACCAACAATCGAAAACTTTATGGACTGATGACAGATTTTGATATGACCACCTCCCTCCCCGCCGTAACTCCTTCCCAACTTAATCCTCTGTTATTCACCATCACCCATCAATGAAGGCAATAGTTCGGCATGTGCAGTGTATAGACACTGTTCCAGGTAAAACTGACTTCTTACAATATATATTTTACTAAACAAACTTACTACGGTAATAATCAATAATCGATCACTTCAAAACAATGTTTGTTCACTCTTCTCTTCTATGCTCTTCATAATTTTAGCTCTTCAAGCGTGTGACTCCTCTGCAGAATCGCCAACTATTATTTTCGTCGCTAAAGTATTTTGGACGGATAAGCTACGGCCTACTTCAAATGCCTGCGATCGTCCTGCCCCACCTGATGATATAAAGTAATTCATTTCATTGTCAATGTCTAAATATTACTTGCAATATGTTTTTCTCTTGGAAATGTGTATATATACGTGTAAAAAAGAAAAAAAATGAGTGGTAGCTGAAATTTTATGATTTCAGTCAGTGTGGTTTATTCAGCATTTTGAATGATTCATGCCAAATTCCCACTTTAACATAAAGAAAATCAAAACAAGTGATTCAGCGAAGGGACTCTTTTCAACAACGAATTTATTATCAAGCTGTACAATCGTGTATATATATATATATATCATCTATCATCATCACTATAGAGACGGGTCATAAGGTTGATTTCAACAAAGCTTTTAAGCCGATATATAAAACAAGGTTGGGCCACATACTTAAATTCATTGAAGCCTTAGCCTTAAAAAGACTTAAACATGTCTTATCTGTCCAAAAGTTATTTGTTATCACCTTAAACCTGCCTTGGTAATCCAATTTAGAACCAAGTCCCAATTTACTTCCTAATATTTTCAACCCCTTCTTTGCCTTGTTTTTCTCTTTTTCTCTTTCTTACCCACACCTTTTGCGTCTCCCTACCCATTATTTGTGACCTTGACCTGTACACAATCTGACCTGTGTTGTAATTATTCATGCCTTCTTGCCTTCTATAAAAACTGTGTATGACAAGTACGCGGGTGTGTGATCAGAATGTCCGAAATGTGTTGCGCAAATACACATTACACGTTCCAGATTAACCACGTCTTCTCATTGTGTTGTCGAAATGTCATCTTTTACCCAGAATTTATCCCGTTTTCTTCCCGTTTTGTTTACATTCCGAATGGGACCGTAATGTTGTTTTTAGGGGTGTGGTGGTGGGTTTGCCTATCCCACGGCCAACCTTTCGTTTTTTCTGGATTTAGTACCGGCTAGCAAACTCCAGAAGGTTCTGCAGTGCGTCAGCAGGGAGTCGAACCTAGATTGCCCGAGTGTCTGGCGAGCATTCTACCAGCGTAGCACATCGTAATGGAAAGAAGCTTGTTCTTTGCAGTTTAGTGTAATTGTAGTTTATTTTTCTGTAGGCTAACGTGACCTTAGGTGTTTTATTAATTTTATACAGATCTATCTTCATCTCATAACATTTGCTTTTGTATTATTTTCAGATCAGAAAATACAGATCATATCAGTACTGTACTACAGTCTTGTGATACAGAAAATTCAGATATTAGTCATCCATGTGTTGTTTCCCAACCTTCTCTTTGTAACACTCCAGCCAGACAAGCTAATACTAGTCTACGATCTCCTTTGGTATCGTGTAATCCATTCGCCGATACTGATTTTGTTGCTTTAGCTAGAGTTTTTAGCGGCACCGTTTATCCTGGTCAAAAGTTATTTGTTCTTGGACCGAAATTCGATGGCCGAAAGGTTAGTGTGACGTATTTTCGATCATTATTAATTTCCGAAGTTTGATCACGGATTGATTTCAGTTAGAGAGCTATTGAAAGCGAAGGAGTACTGGACTGTCGTTTCGTCCCAGTTTGGGACTCTTCATCAGCACATACCCTTGACCCCACTAAGAGTCGAACCTAGGACCTTCAGGTTACGAGGCCAAACTCGTTGAGCATCCAGCCATTCGGGGCAAAATCCAATGGCCCATGAATTCTGACTTCTGTTAGTTCGCGATATTATTTTAAGGTTAATTAGACTTGCTGGACAAATAGACGCTGCCTGGGCGTGGCGCTCGGGCTTGCATATCGCAACGATCCAATAAGCTTCAACGGCTGGAATAAATGTCCCTTCAGGTTTTTCTGACTTGTCAGAAAGTTCGTCTGGATAACAGTTAGACTAGAGGCAGTTACCGTTGTAGTTTAAGTAGTTTACGCTATATTTGGGGGTCTGCGGACGATGTCATAGGGATATAATAGCAGTAATGTTCCCCTTAGATGACCAGCAAACCAGCTATGTTGCCTCTCTAGGGAGGTGTTAGAAAAAGCCGACTTCGAAAGTATGCATCCCAACCTACCTTGCGACAGTTCGTAGCCGGCGGTAAGATTTTAATACAGAGATAACTTCCGACACCAACACTGTGGCACTGTGTGTGTGACTATTCTCAAGCAGTTGTCCCCTGGGCGTTTTGGTCACGCAACACTAATGCTCCTTCTATTTCAGGTATTTTAAGAAGACATCAGTTCCCATGGTGTAGGCAGCCCGCCTACATACTCCTATTGGCAGTCATCGTCCAATTGAACTTGAAATGATTACTTAGCTTGTTGCTGGATTCAAACATGCATCCACAGACCTAATAGCATGACAATGAAATACTGATTCAGCTTCAGCGTCAGTCATCAAGGGTTCTCGACAACTCTTGTAAATTGGTGAAAATGTCATGATCCGATTAACACTAACAACTTCTCGATGCATTCGCAATTGAAAGGAAACCTAAGGCAAAAATGTGACTGATTATCAATTCAAATAATGTTACTCAACAACTATTTTGCAATGCTATGCAGTTGGCAATGATCCACACCTATTGTGTGGGGGCCTGTGGTATTACCTGGCTATTCAAACCTCTGTGGGTAGGACAAAACTCGAATCCGTTACCTACCGGTTAGAAGTCGACCACCTAGATTGATAGATCACAGTAATTTTCGATTATCCTATTTAAGATGGGATTGGTTTAATTCACTTCTCTGATCGCCCTACTGAATAAAGACTGTTTATGTAGCGGGTGAGCGCGTCGGTGACTCAGAGGTAGAATGCTGGGTCAACCATGCACGTGGTCTGGGGTTCGATTCCCGGCCGGTGCACACCCCTGCCTCCCCTAGCTGGTTGTTAGTCTGGTTAATAGGGAAGGCTGGGCATAAGGCTAGCAACCCCACCCCGTAAACAGACACCACTGCTAGTGAAACTCCAAAGCCCAAACTTGGAACTTTATGTTCCACTAGAAACTTATAGGAATGGTATGTAGCGGGCCGACTTCTATTTCACTTCCAATTATCCCCCCCCCCCACTGCTTGAATGACACAGTCTGTCAGCCCAAGATGATCTCAGATAGTCTCACCATCAAAGGATATTTAGCTTAAATCCTATCTGTATAGTTTGTGTCGTGGAGATAATACAAATCTTTATGAAACCGTCTGAATTATCGGCAGTTCATGCTATGTTACTGAAAAGGTCGACTTGACAGATCTTCACAATTGAAGGCAATAAAGGCGAATTCTTTTGGGTTATTATCATTCATTGAAACATTCAGCATTAGAGCTAACCCATCTCCTCTTTCGATTTGTTCAAAGATGTGTTTTTAAGACTGAATATGAGGAGTACTAACACACTAGTGACTTTAACAAACTTGTCTAATATCCCTCCATGTAGTCTTTTGAATGTTCCAGTTTATTAAATTCATATCATGCATATCATACATTTACACACACACACACACACTATCTAGCACTTTCAAAAGATTTTATAAGCCTATCCAATTTTGCTGTCAGGTGCCTTCATATCTCTTGGATGCAGATCCGGAAAATTTCCCACTTGGTCCTGTTCGTCTACGAAATGAAGAAGAAGAAGGAGATTTGGGTCTTTCAAGTACCAGTAATCATAACAATTCATTCGATGATCTTGGTAAAGCCAGCTCAGTGAATTCTGGCTCGTTCTCTATCAGTCGTTCAGGATCCGTTGGTGGTGGTTCAAGTGAATTTCGACTATCCGGTCCAAGATATCTACGTCATGTTTATGTCGCTTCGGTTGTTCGTGTCCTTCAACTGTTGGGTAGTCAGTCAGATATGGTTGAAATTGTTGATCCTGTACCAGCTGGGAATATAGTTGGCCTTACTGGACCCGATCTGATTGCATGTCTGCCTAAATCTGGTCTTCTAGTTAGCCGATTATCACTGGTCGCTTCGATGGCTAGTAAAACAGATAATAATTCTGAGACTGAAATCGCCCCTGTTCTACCTTTAGCTGGTTTAGCTGTTTGGCATGGTGCACCAGTTATTTCGGTCGCTGTTGAACCAGCATCTGCTGCTAATCCTGAAGATGTTTATCGACTGGAACGTGGTCTTCGTCTGTTAGATCGAGCTGACCCGTGTGCAGAGGTAATTTTTTACTTTGTATCTATATGTGTATCAGGTTTTGTCATTTGGTTTTTGAATTTATTCAAGTTTACAACCTCATTGAACTTTAAGGTACGCTTTATAATAATAACTGCAAAACTTAAAGAGAGACTAATGGGTACTGAATAGCTGTTTCGTACTAGTTTGGATCTCTTCATTATTGCGTGCACTTACTACTACCCTCATCAGCAGTCCAAGTCCAGAACCTTCAGGTTGTTAGTTGATCCAGTTGACTATTCATGCACTGAGTTGGATTCAATGACCGCATCAATTTTAACTTCTGTTTATTCGCGATACATAGTGCTACCTGCAGCCATCGCCGTAAACGGACATGCACTGTACTGTAACATAGTGGAACCTACCGACCACGGCTTTTCAATAGAATTTCAGAACCTTCTTCCTATAGCGACTGGTATGTAGGTGATTTTGGATTTTGGAATAATAATTTGGATTAATTTCAAGTAGGCTTTTTTTGTCACGCATTAACATCAATCAGCTGCCTTCATTACCTGAGGGTCATAGATGATCACCTGTGAAGAGTCTCACACTAGAATGAAATAGCTCGTTATGTCTCAATTACTCTTTAACTGATGCTGGTTTTATGACGCGAATTACTACGGTGAAATTAATCCAAGCCCATATGAAAGCCATTACCTAAAGAAGCAGTTACTCTTGTTGACAATGAGGTTGTTTCCTCGTAATAAGCTTTACTAAATGATCAATAAATCTGAATTTTTCAAAAGAATGGCCACTGAACATAGAGTACTCTTTTCGATAACTTCATCAGGCTCTACAGTTATATATACATTATAGTGTATGAATGAATTAGTGTTATGAACAACATTAATGCTGTTTAAATAACATCGAATCAATAATATCAATAGATTACAGCTCAATAGCATCAACATAAAATAAGCTGAATGTCAGAAAAATTAGGAAAGATAATATTACAAATTCATGAATTTATAGTCTCCACTGAAGGCCGGCCAGGGCAGTAGTAGTGGCTGGACTTGCTTCTTTTGAACACAGAGCACTGGTTGTTTGAGGCGAATTGCAATAGCCTCTGCTGTTTGGAGCATGTGGTGCTTCGATGATTTTGGTAATTTATTAGGCACCCGGTAGATGATAGAGAAGGATTCTTCAATGCTGGCTGGCTTTGTGGTCGGTTTGCACCAGATGGTCCAATATCGAACTGTTAATGGTTTTCACTACACGTTTACTTAGCCATAGTGGGATATGTTCTCGAGCACGAAAAATCATGTTCCTAGAGCAACGGCCAATATAATATATAATTTATAATATTATCTTTCTTAATTTTTCTGACATTCAGCTTATTTTATGTTGGTCATATTGAGCTGTAATCTATCAATATTATTGATTCGATGTTATTTAAACAGCAACATTAATGTTGTTCATAACACTAATTCATTCATTCAATATAATGTATATAACTGTAGAGCCTGATGATGAAGTTATCGGAAAGAGCACTCTATGTTCAGTATTCATTCTTTTGAAAAATTTTTAATGGGCATTTTTAATCAGTTAAAATCTGAATTTGACAGTATCAAAGTTTTTATGTGGAGATAACTGTGTGTAATTGAATGATTGGGAAACAAATTGTGTGAGCTGATATTATTATCATTACTATTTTTTATTCCTTTACGTTCCCAGCGGAACATAGAGCTTCAAACTAGAGCTTTGAAGTTTCGGTAGCAGTTGTTTCATTTTTACGAGGTTGGGTTTGCTAGCCTCACGCCCAATCTTCCCCTTTATTGAGATTGTTAACAGCTTAGCGAGGTTTAGGAGTGCGTCAGTGGAAGATCGAACCCCAGACCACATGTGTGGTTGGCGAGTGTTCAACCGATGAACCACCGATGCCTAGGAAGTTAATATTAATTTTCTCTTATTCACTTGATGATGTGGCTAGTATTGGAATCTAGGATTCACATTTCGTCCTATCATCAACTGGATTTATATGTATCCTTCTAGTGAGCAATGGATGGATGATTTTCCCATCGTTCTGTCTGTCTGGATTCAACATAGAACTTGGCACTGAAGTAAAGCAGTTCCAGTTGCCACGTTCCAAGACAAGAAAATGAGTGAAGAGAATCAATAGAGTTTTGACAAGTATAAAAGTGAAACAGATTGAGTAATGGTAGAAAGGAATATGAACGATTACAGAGACTGAATACATCTGCGTAAGCCATTGACAACGAATTTGAGCCATGTCACCTATTGTCTCCAGCCATTGATTCTTAGAGTCTCGAGGGCGGGCCCCAACCCGGAAGTCTGCATCTCCCTACCTGACTCAGTTTAACTGTCAAGGATTTCATGGATTGATGCCATGTTTTTGTTTGGCCACCACTTACTCTTTTCCAACCTGCACCTATATCAGTTAGTAATGCCCGTCAGTCGGGAGAGGCGATGGTTAGGCATGCGCAGCACGTGACCTAGCCATCTCAATCTACGTAACTTTATAGCCTTGTCGATTGATTTTCCCTCTTTTCCCAACACTCTACGCCTAACGTCAACATTACTTACTTTATTAAACCACCTAACGTGAGAAAGAGATCGTAGACATCTATGATCAAAAACAGTCAACCTTTTCATGTCTTCAACTCGTATTGGCCATGTTTCAGAGCCATAGAGAAGAACGGAGCTAACTGGTGAATAGTACACACGTCCCTTGGTTGATAGTCGGATGTCACGCCTACACCAGAGATGGTGCAAGTTAGCGAAAGCAGCCCGAGCTTTTTGGATCCGTGCTGAGATTTCTTCACCAATCAGTCCGTTGGTGCTGATACAACTTCCCAAATAGGTGAAGTGGTCAACATGTTCTATCACTTCACACTCCCTATCACTA